GGAGCAGGGCTCCCTCTCTCTCTCTCCGGCCCCCCAGGTGCCGCGGCCCACCGGGAAATTTCCCGGTATCCCGGTGGGCCAGTCCGGCCCTGTCTACGACCTACCATTCCTTTTTTCCTCCAGGGGGGCTTCAGGGGTCTCCAAGACCGACCATCTCTTTTTTTCCTCTTAGGGGTGCTTCAGGGGAAAGATTGTACAGGTCATTTATGCTTTCATTTCAGCTGCTTTGGTCCTAAATTTGAAATCTACTTAGTATTTTTTTTTAATTCTCATTTTAGTGAAAAACCTTGCATTTTAGGTAGTTTTTTGGAGCCAGTTTACACCAGTGCAATCGTATGTTCTCAATTTTTAATCAATAAAACCATTTACTGTTTTAAACATTCATTAGACTTATTGCCTCTTACAAATTTAGTCCCTATTATTGTTAGTTTTTCCTAAATATATATATATATATATATATATATATATTTAAATAAGATAACATTGTAAAACTTAAACTGTGTATTCCTTTTTTTATTATTTAGAACTTCGAATTCTCACCATGAGCTGCAAGATACACCTGGCCATAATCTTCATACTTTACACCGTCATCGGTATCCAAGCAGAAGTGCCTAAACCATGTGACGAAGAGTCATTTGTGGACATGCATCAGAAGGTGAAGGATCTTTGGCTCACAATGCTTCATTCAAACCCTTTCCTAATAAATACAGATGGGGTGTCCTACACTACGTGTGTTTTAAATCCTAGTACCAAGTTGCAACCCACAGATTTAAAGCTGACGGGTCAGGTCTTATTTAAACAGACCTTTCCAAACGGGCATCTAGAAGCAATTTTCGCAGTTGAAGGGTTTCCTTTGGATAATAATCAAACTTCTAGAGCGATTCACATCCACAACTATGGTGACCTCAGCGATGGCTGTGACTCTGCCGGTGCACACTACAACCCCTTTACTGTAAACCACCCAAACCATCCTGGAGATTTTGGAAACTTCCGTGTCAAGGATGGAAAGATCGAAAGACATGGAGCATATCCTGACGCTACATTGTTTGGTCCATATTCCATTATTGGCAGATCAATTGTAGTCCATATGCAAGCTGATGACCTTGGCAAAGGCAATAATACAGCCAGTTTGGAAAATGGAAATGCAGGCAAACGCCTAGCTTGTTGTATCATTGGTGTCAGTAGCAAAAGCAACTGGGATAAATATATGGAAGCTCACCCTGGATTGAAATCACCAAGAGTTTCAAGAAGATCGAACAGCAAAAAGCCTACCTTGAAAGTTTAGTCAATCAAACTTGAAGAAGTAACCATCTAAGGAGACAAGTATTGGATAACACTTTAATATATGCTTTGACAATTTAGGAAACCATGATATACATATATTTAGCAAATTCCATATTTCTGGAATTTTAGTAATGTATACCGCAACCAAACCACAGATACTGAAATGACTTCTACAAACAGATTAATATTTCTGAATAATATACAATGCTTACACTTCCTAGTGTGAGCAATGCTATTCTATTAGCCAAGTCTCTTTGCTCATGTTAAGGAGGGAATGGGTGCTCACTGCAACTACAACCATGAAGTGTGGTTAGTGGTTTTGTGTTTGGGGGAAATGAGTATGGACAAAAGGTCAACTAATTTGTAAAATACAGCATTTATAATCAGCAGCCCTGTCATTTTATTGTGTAATTTCGAAACATTTATTAATTTCTTGTAGACGAGCATTCCCTAAGAGCAGTTAGAGCTGCGGACCAATACTCCAGAACAATCCCCAGGATCTGATTTTACCATTTCACACAAGATTATTTAAGTGTGAATTGTCAGGAGCTCAAAAGCGAATTTCACATTGAAGGGCAAAATAGCCAAACTGAAAACATTACCAAAATAGTTTTCTATTACAAAATATAGTTTTTTGGCCTAGAATTCCTAGAAATCCATACTGAATTCCAGATCATTTAGAATTTAGTAAATAATTCTGACAGTGGTTTTGTCATTAGCATTTAATTGTATATTGTAGGTGGGTAATATTTCTTTACAGTGAATGTAGAATTGTAGAATAACAATTGTAGCATACATGAGAGTTTTCCCTATGGACTCACAGCAGATTAGCTGAAGTCATTCAGTGACAGACAATCACACTATCAGGACTGCCTATGAGAAAGCCCTCTTTCAGTGCTCCATCTGTAAAAAATTGTTTTTTTGTATAAAATGAAAACAGGAGTGCTACTTGTAACCGCTATAGATTTCATGTGAAATACAATTTTACATAGAACTTGCATTATGCACACAAGGTGTACAAAAACTTGTATGACCAATGGGAAGTATAATTTCCATGTGACACCATCAGACAAGGGACAGGGCTTATAAATGCAGTGACTTTTGCTTATCACCGCAGCTAGAAAATAAAAAAGGAAACAGTTAATGCTACTGCTTGGACAGTGTTTTTACAATAATTTTAATTCTGTAATCCTGTACAAAAATTATTTTTAAAGAAGCCATATGTGGCTGGAAAACAGCATTTGGATCTGAATTTCTGCTGTACTCTATATGCAATAAACGTTACTGGCTTGACCAATTAAATCATTTGTACACTGCTTATTTACTGCCCAATTTAGATTGGTACAGTGAGCACACCCATATCAGTCACACTGTGTTTTTACTGCCACTGCTTGCTCCCGTACATTTTGATACCCTTCCACATAGTTATACACCTAAACACAAATCATAGAAAACCCCCACTTCAACACCCCCAGCTGATTTTCCAGCCCATTGTACTACTTTACCCACACTCATTTAGTCCTTTAGCTATATTCCCTAGCCCGCTGTCTCCTAAAATAATTCTGAATAAATGGATAAAATCCATTAAAAAAAATTAATAATAGATCACACCGATATAGCCATTTCGATACAGCTCCCACATAGAAATACAGAATGGATGTGGAGGTTGAATACCTCCATACTTAGAGATGGGCTGTTGGTAGAAGGGTCCACCACAGTCATGCAGAAGTATTTTATAAGAACGATCCCAGGAGATATTTAGTTCCAAAATATGGTTGCCCATAAGGCTCTTATTCGTGGTAATTTCATAGTGGTGACATCACACAGATAAAAGGAAAAGAAAAAACAATGGTTAGAATTTCTGGCAGCATTGCAGAAGCAAGACAATGTCCTGACCCCAACGCTCAAAAAATTATATTTATAGTTAAATGATGTAGCCCAAAAGTTAACATGGTCACAGAGACAGTTTTACAAAAAAAATCAAACAAAATGGACTACTAGTGAGCATCCCATAACAAGCTTAAGGAGGGTCAAGCCCTTTCCCCAGAAACCAAACTAGCTAATATTGTCTTTATACTGAAAGAGGGTAATGACCCCAGCAAGCAGGTAGTTACAAAACATCTCCCTAATTAATACAGACGTAAAAATATTAGCCAAAATATTTGCCCTGTATTAATTTCGCTACTATACTTTCTATACAAGTAGAACAGCTAATCTGATTTGGTGGGCGGGAAGATTGGGGGCACCTTACTTAGTCCTGTCGCTGGATGTGGAGAAGGCATTCAACTACATACAGTGGCCACAATTCTTTGGTCTGTTGCAACATTGGGGCTTCCCAGATGCTTTGACATCGTAAAGGCCCTATATGTGAATTTCCAGGCTTGAGTTGTAATACCAGTGTGACAGCCCCCTTCTTTTCCTGTCCATAATGGGACTAGACAAGGGTGTCCACTTTTACTCTTACCATTTGCCTACTCATTGGAGCCCCTTCTCCACTTAATCAGAAACCATAAATGATATAAAGGGTATCGTGGTGGCAAGCAAATCCTACACTGATAATGTTCCTTTGATCCTTGCAGACCCAATGCTTATGCTGGTAATGTTTTATTTTGACCCTTGCAGACCTGATGGTTAGTCTCCCCTCACTATTCAACCTACTATAAGGTTTGGAGCCATATCAGGTTGACAAAACTATTGCAATGCTGCTTAATATGACATGGCAGGGCATGATACAGCTTCAGGAGTTTTTCGGGGTTGGTCTGCCGACAGGCAAACTCATTCACGTTTTTGGGGGCAGCATACTTAATGAGGCTGGGCACGTAGAATTAGGGATCACTACTGCACAAGCTCAGGCAGGAACTAGAGAATTGGGATGCTAAAACCATATTGTGGTTGGGTAGAAAACACACCGTGAAAATTACTTGTATAATAGTTTCCTGGGTATCCCAAGTCTCTTGCCACACCCCTCCCCCATTAATATATACAAGTCCTCTGCAATCTATACTCCATCCAGGTGCCAGGAAACTATTATTTCGACCTAGACAGGCTGACCCAGCTGGTGCTGGGGGAGGATGGGAGGACATATGGTAGGCTGCTACAAGAGTGTCAATCTGCGAGAACTCCCAAGACCAAATGTTTAAAGTCATGATGCAGTGGTATACACCACCAGTGAAATTGTATAGAATAGGAACAATACCAACAGATGATTGCAGGAGAGGATGTGTGTTACGGGGGACATATTTGCATATGTGGTGGGGATGCCCACAAGTTAATATTGTGAGGGGGTCCAAGTGTTGCTTGGCCAAGTTTTTCTTATACAATTTGATCTTGATCACCGGGTATACATCCTGTCTCAACCCATTAAGGGGATCCTTCCCCCCCTTAAAACAAAAGCTATAGATTATAATAGTGCTAGGAGCCTAGAGCGCTATAGCAGCTGGATGGCTGGGTGATAGACTCTCAACCCTACAAGAGAAAAACTAAAATAGAGGACAAAATATTAATGGATTAGCTCACAGCAATAGTTTGTAGCTCAAAAAACAAATATCAAAAAGTGTAGGGATTTGGGAAATACTGTGTAGTTTGATATAGGAGAGACGAGAAGGTCGGGAAATCTGCCCACAGGGGGTGGCTACATGGATACCTAAAGGTGGAGACTAACTAAACTCAAGTGCACCTATTGACATGTACCACAAGAAATTTTAGTTTAACAGTTTTGTTAAATTTGGTTCTTTCTTGTACTCCGATTTGTAAAATCTGAGGCTGTGATGCCTCAATGACTAAATAAAGAATTATCCCCCCCCCCCCCCCCCCCCAAAAAAAAAAAAAAAAAAAAAGGATAAAAATCGATCAATATTGTTACATATTTTGATAAAAAACCAGAGTATGGATGAAGCATTGACTGAATATTTACACAGTCTATTTACAAACTAAATGTATACGTTCAAAAAATATCATGGTAAGACTTACTGATTGGTTTTATTAGATAAAGCAACTAAATATATCCTATGTTTGCCATGTACAAACTTTGGTGTTTTTGATGTGTAATTCGAGACAATACAGCATAAATAAACAAAAGAATATACACAATATAACCTGTCTGCATGAGAAACTATATAACAAAACTAACAAAAATACCTCACAACTTGATAAATAATTGGAAATAGCACTTTGAACAACAGTAGGTCAAAACATACAAAAGACATGCACAGAATTCCTTGTGCAAGCGGAAAATATGCAAACGCTGGAAACCTCACCTATTGAACAACAAACACATCCTGCCATGTTGCACTGGTTGGCAGATGGTGTGAGTTACTGTATTTACGCTGGAAAGATGAATGCGTTCGGTCCTTTGTTTAAGCTGCAGAAACGTCTCAGGAGAGACAATTAATACCTGATGCAGGTGAGAACTAAATGAATAACGCCAAATTCTATTTCTCAATCATAATAAATATAACTTAGAATCTCCATACAGTCGGCTTCAAGTATGCATGGGGTGGGTCTCTGATTAAAGGATTGCTTCATAGTGTATGTAATAATGTCACCTATGGGTATTGGATAATAAAACATGGAAGAAGTGGATAACGTGTCTGTACACAACCAGAACCTAGAAAAGAAATCAATAAAAACTTTCTATGTTATAAAGATGGTCAGTAATCCATGGAACAAATACATTTCTTGCTAGATGTTGCACGTTCATGCATATTGTAGTAATAACAGAATTTTCCAATGGTGTCACTGTATTCATGTACATTATCATAGCCCACTCAGGACATATGTAAAATGCACAATTCCATCATACGTACTTATTACTGTCTGCCATGAAACATGTCCCCAAACATTAATACAATACACATTGCCTAAATTAAAATGATCTTGCAGCTATGTAATACATGAATTTTAACACACATAAAAGAACAATAAAATAAAAAAGGAAATCATATTGCACCATCTAAAACATGCAGAAGAATGAAATGACCTAGTTTACATGGATTACATATATTTTTTAGTTTGTCTGTTTGACGGATGTTCATTACAAAAAAAAAAACAAAAAAAACTACAACTTCGGATCTCAACAACAAAAATGGAGCTTTGGCAGTTGTATGTGTTGAGTTATCATCAAAATGTTAACATTTTTCATCGTCATGAACTCCTGTGTCTAGAGAGTCCCTTTCAGTCATTTCACAATGCTTTGTTTTCTCATCTTTTATTTCTTCAACTTTCTCCAGTTCTTCAGCCTCCCGATGTAGTCCAGCCATTTTCGTTTGTCCTTCACTGTTTTCTGAAAGTCCCCCATTTGTGTTTTGCATTTCATGGAAGAAACTATCAGTTGCTGGCAAGATCGGGGTTTCTGCTGTTGTATCAGAAAGTCCTGGACTAGACAAGGGGGACACCAAACTGGCGAGGGGATCTTGGCTTATTGACACAATTTGGTTGTCAACAGGAGATTGTAGAAGGCTTTCTTCCAACTCCACTGAAGACAGCTCATCTGCAAGTTCCACAATCTGCTTTCCTCGCTGTTCTTTCTCTGAACTAAAAAGTGGAATTAAAGGGTGGAGGTACATGTTTTCATAAGCATTGCCAAGGGGATCTTGTGAGTTTTCTAACTGTTGGTTCGTTTCACTCTTAGCAGTCATTTCCAAAGCTGTAGAGCATAAATCAAGGCTTGGCTGCCTGTGAGCTGGAGATATGAAAATATAAATATTAGTTCATTCTTTGTGAAAAAAAAAAAAACTTTTATAGTTATGCTAAACTAAAATATGAATATGTATTTCTGTATTTCAAACAGCATTAAAATACAGTCATTTTTATCTTATTTGTTAACCAATACTAGGTTGGAAAAGAGTCCCTCAAATTACATTTTTGAAAAAGCTTTTAGTAATTTTGATGACAATATTATAATAAGTACATTAAACGCTGTGGCTGTCATCATTAAATCTTCCCCTCTTCCACTAGGCATATGGCAGGCGAAATGCATAGTAGAGAGGGTTACAGCGTCTCAATCTACCCTGAATGTGTCTAACGAGTAGGGAAACAATTGATGGTGGCAGCTGTTAACATATGTAACTCCCATCATGTTCAGGCAGCTTGCTGTTACACAGATTAGGAATCTCACCATGCTGCACTATATTATAGCTGCATGTCTCGTTTGAGACATCAAACGCAAAACTCCTATGCAACATTTGTTTCTACAAAGGAAAGAAAGCAGAACACCTGCTTGCATCGTTGGGTGGCCCTTTGGCTTGTTTTGTCACAAATAAAAAATATGATTTAAGCTATAAGACACACTTACTCCAGTTTTTCTTATTCATGACGAGATCTTGTTTTTAAATAATACAGACATTTCTGTTCTCATGGAGGTCACATTAACCGATATATGTAAGCACACTCATTTTTAAAGGCTGGGTACACATCTCTCAGATCCAGCTTATTTTGTTCTCATGGCATGGACGGACTGTTCTTAAATGCTCAAGGAAAGCATTTTTATCATGACAGAGCAAGAAAGTCATCGTTTGATATACAGGACAGACATTATCCATTTGTTATACTCCGAAGGAAGCGGATTTTCTAGGTGACTAAAGGTAAAACTGCAGCACTGGATTTAATGATGCAACAACCAAGGAAATATAAAATGTCAACACGACACAGGCTTGGTTATTCACTTAACTGTACATTGGAACATCCTAAAATCTGAATGGCAAAATCTTGAACAAACAAACATATTAAATAGCAGATGTGGGAAAAATATCCAACTCTGTTAAAGGTTGGCAATTTGCTAGATTTTGACGTTTAGTAAATTAACTACTTAATATCTATCCAGGAATGAAAATAGAAAAAAACTGACTTCTGTTCTGTCAACATGACTGGAATGTCCATAGATCAATAAATGTTGAATGATCCTTCTGTATAAACATTCTGAATGGTGCAAGAACAGGTGTATCCTACTAGCCAAACTGACGCTGAAGTAAAAAAAATAGTTTTGTAATTTAATGATAAAAAAGGTATAGAAAGTACAGTATAGTTCTCACACTATTCAAAGATAAACATATCTATAGCCAATTATCTACAACATAAAATGGAGACCTACCATTGTGTATATGCAATCAGAAATAAATAAAAAATAGTAATTGTATAAAGATGGCAGAAGTCAACTGTTCAGATCTCAAGTTGTCAATTTTTTATTAGTAAAAGAAAAAATCCAGATTGAGTAAGGACGGGCTGCCTAGCTTCTGTCTCGCTAGCTTACCTTCATATGTTAGTGGTGTGTGACAAGGTATTTCAGTAAATGCAATAACTGGGGATTTTGGTCGCTGCAGACTTGGAGGTGCTGGATCATGTAAAGATATTGTGTCTTTTCCTCCTACCAAAAACCAGACAGAAATGTTACCAGAATCAAGGGAACCTTTACTTATTTTAGAAACACGTGTCACATCTAAACATATGATTCAAAGTATACACTGTGCTAGCCATCAAATATACAGACACAATGTTTTTAGCATTTTGAGGCAAAGGCATGCAGGTAAAACAGAAATATAGTCTATGAAATGGACACACACTTTGGTTTCTTGCTATCCATGCTATGTATCATGTCATGGTGCAGCCATATATTTGGGTAAAATGACCTCCACTTGCAACCTTGGAGGAGACAGGCACAATCTCCCAGTAAATATATTTTTAAACTTATAGATGTGCTGATGATTTTGACAATATTAAGTTTAAAGGGACAATATAGTCACCAGAACAACTTCAGCTTAATGTATTTGTTCTCGTGAGTAAAGCATATCCCTGCAACGAAAAGGCAGTGTTTACATTGACACCTAGGGGAACCTCCAGTGGCCACCACTCTGATAGCCACTAGAGGTACTTCCTAGTGGATTTAACACTACATGGTCAGGAATACATTTGTGTTCCTTGGCCTATAGGGTTCCTTTAAATTTTCTAAATACCTATCAAAAACATTGCTGTTATCCATATATAACTAACCAAAACAACCAACAATAATGTACCTTATACACATACAGCATATATGCAAAGATACTTATCGAATGTAGATGAATACAGCCTCCCTCTGATCGCTCCCAGCTAGCGATCAGCTTGACAACAAAATATGGAAAAAACACAGCGAGGGAACCGGCTGTTAATCTAAATAGAAATAAATAAAGAAAGATATAGTGTAATACAGTTTACAATATGAACACTGCGCAATATGAAATGCACTCACAGGATTTTGGACAGATTCAAGCTTGTAAGGTGCCTCCCCCGAAAATATGGGGGGTTTTAGGGAAATCCCCTGAATACTCTCTCTCCAATACAGGACTCCGGGTGAAGTTTGAAAAAGCAGCTTTAATTCAATATTAAAAAATATAAAGATAAAATAAATATAAATAAGGTCCTACGCGTTTCGTCCCTTTAACAAAATAGGGACTTCCTCAGGGACCACAAATATTAAAATACAATTTGATACAATACAATCCAAAAAAAGCAGCCTCCAGGCTTAAAGATATTTATTTTACCTTTATATTTTTTAATATTGAATTAAAGCTGCTTTTTCAAACTTCACCCGGAGTCCTGTATTGGAGAGAGAGTATCCAGGGGATTTCCCTAAACCCCCCATTTTTTCGGGGGAGGCACCTTACAAGCTTGAATCTGTCCAAAATCCTGTGAGTGCATTTCATATTGCGCAGTGTTCATATTGTAAACTGTATTACACTATATCTTTCTTTATTTATTTCTATTTAGATTAACAGCCGGTTCCCTCGCTGTGTTTTTTCCATATTTTGTTATCCATATATGTTGTAGATGGCAGGTTAAGCTTCATGGTATGATTTGACATAGGACCACAAATTTCTGCTCTTCATTTAGCAAGACCTATAATTACTTTTTTTTTATTTTGTATGTGTACGTGTTTTGCCTGCAAACACCTGGTTAATTCTGTGCTTTGGTGAGCTTCAAAAATGATTTAATTTACGTACGAGTAGACAGATATATTAGCTGTCAGCGTTTCACTCTCTGACTTCAAACCACATTTCTATGGGTTCCCTTGGCAACCAATACCAATATATATTCTTTTATTATAAGAAAACAGCAATGTACACCATGGATTATTTTATGTACACCAATCCAGGTACGTACAGGTTGTTGATAGACAGGCTACATTGATGTCAATAAAATAAGGTAAAATCCTGACTGTTTAGCCTAAAATAAATACAGAAACCAATGATCCACAACTAAGGACCCACAGAAATGAAGGTTGCATTCATAAATACGGTTTACTAGTTTGCATCATAGGAGTGTGGAAGAAATATAAATTTTTCTAGATCCTATTTGTGGCATGATGTGCCTTTTTTTGCATTTAGAATACGTTAGAACCTAAATATAACCCGTTATATAACAACACTGTGTGTCTATTAGAATTATCAAAGTGGGCACCAGTATTTTGAGAAAATTCACACATTTTGTTCTCTTTATCACCATATATAATCAATAGTGTAAATAAACGTATGTGCAATTTATCTATGTATTTATGTGTGTCTATTTATCTATGCACAGATCTATGTCTAAGTGTGTGCATTCCTGATCAGATATCTATTTTGCTATGTCATAGCAATGATGTATTCATACATCACATAGCACTTAAATTATAGAAATTAACTTTATTGCATTTTTATTAGTAATAGAAACAATTTTCTGTTCGTTATTGAGCTACCATCTCATCTCTCTAATTAGCAGCACTCATATAAAGAAAATTATTTAAAAAAAAGAGAACATTTAATGATGGATGGAGAGGGTGTCTAATATTAATGTAGCACATTGTGTACTTGAGATTTCACAACAGGAAACCATCAGAGCAGTCTGTTTTCCTTATTCGAAAAGTGGTCGGTCTTCTGTTATGTATTGAATTGTCCCGCTTTCCCTGACTCGCACAGTGTAGCATCATTTGTTTTTGATAAATCTTATTTGCAAAAAAACTTAGTAAGGTTTAATTACTGTTCAAATAAGCACCAACAGAATAAAAATGAATATAAAGTAGTATGCAGTTACCAAAAGATAATTATCAAAGAATGTGCTGTGTGTAAATTATTCTAGCTAAGGGAGTCCAACCATGGCTCTCCGTGTAATATTAAACTACATTTCCCATAATCCTCAAAATCATGGTAAACATCAAAAGGGTTGCAAGAGTGGGAGTATCAACTTGTACACAGCATCCACAGCAGGAATGTATGGGTTGAACACTACTATTACAGAATCACAAGAAAATCAGCAATACATTTCTTGAACCATACTCGATGGGAGTAGAAAGAAAACATTCCTGATAATAGACTTTTAAAGTTATAAACAGATGGACATCTTGGGAGGGGGGGGGGTGCACTTCAACTGTAAATGCAGCCCATTTAGTACCAACGCTGGAATAATTAGTTTCTTAAACGATAATAACTGTTCTAGAGCTGGGTTTCCAATTATCTTCTATGGATTATTAGCAGAAAATAGAATACCGAACAAAGTAAGATGCATATTGTAGTCTTGAAATCATCGCTTATTCTTAGAAGGCTTAGCATTTGAAATCCTACACCACTAGCCAGGCCTTAAAAGTGACTTGCCACTGCAAGCATGGAGAGTCCATGACATATTCACCAGGGTGGAATTTTCACTTGGAATATATAAATACAAGGCAAAACACAGAGCCCCCCTCTCTCTCTCTATCACTCACACACCAAGACACACATATATAACTAGTCACTCACATACATACACAGATAACATATACATATATATATATATACACACACACATATATATATACATATATATATATATATATATACACACACACACACACACACACACACACACAAGCACACAAAGTATTGGGATCCCTGTATGTTTTATATTTTTTGAAATTCCATGGTAGTAATATTTCATATAGAAATATATAGAAATATTACTTCCATGGAATTTCAAAAATACCATAAGACAAACGTAAGCAACCTTCGGCACTCAAGATGGAACAGCATTATGGAAGTTATAGTCCACAGCATCTGGAGTGCCAGAAGGCTGCCTACCCCTGCCATTAGACAAAGTAGGTAAGGTTAAGCATGAGGTTTGCAAAAGTTGACAAACGGAGGAGCTCCGCGGTCAACTTTTGTCCAATTCGAGCAGCCGTCACAAGTGTGCGAGAGTACAACACTGATCTGGCTCCTCTGAACACGGTTCTCTGGAACAAGGTGGCAGCAGCCACTGGACCCTAATTGGAGCTGTGACCTTTGGGGTTCTTTGCAAAATGTTAAAAGATCCACAAAAGTGACAGCTCTGTTTTAAGGCATGTTCAACGTAAAACTACCTAATTTCATGAGTAATATAATGCACAGTCAAAAAAATGGACAAGAAGAAAGTAAAACAATAATGCTAGGTGGTAAAAACAGTACTCCTAAATACAAGCTAAAATCTAATTTTGGGGTCTGACAACATATTTGTATAACAGCGTGCTCATTCAATTCATCCAGTCACTTAGCTTTAAGCACTCTTCTGTTTTTAATAGAGATAGACAGTCCAACAAAATATGATTATGATTCACTGCCATATGGCTCAATTTGTTCATCTCGAGGATATGGATAGACTTTTTGGTGGGCCTCCATTTATCCTGAAAGACTTCACGCAGTATTGGTGATCATGCTGCTAAGCCAGCTGGAGACTGCATTGTAAATAATTGCAAGGAAACTACAGAAAACTCACATCTAATTAAACACATTACGATAAAGTAAATGTACTGTAAGGACACGGGAAATGAATAGTGACAGCGCAAACAATCAGACAACAGTCTAATCTAAAGAGAATACAAAATGGAAGTGCAGTAAGGACAAAGCAATGATAACTGGACATTAAACGGAACCTCAGGGAAATTGCATCGGCGTTAAACCGTTCCTACTTCAAAAGTTAAAGAGGATTAGTCACATCTGAGATATAAAGTTAGAGTTATGACTTGTACATTTCTTACTTGGCTACATTAAACAAATTTCACTCGGATACTGCCTCTAGAAAGGATGTTGTGAATACATGTCTCAGTTTGTTTAAACTATCTATTATAAACATATGAGCTGTGATCTCAACAAGGACTCTTCACAGGTTAAGTCAAAGAAAAACTCGAGACAACATTAATATCAGGTTCATCAAACCTCCCTTAGCAGCTAATCATAAGAAAAAGAAACTTTACAGATCATATTTAATCTGAACCTGTCACTTTCCCAAAATTATCAGATTTCAAGTATCTCCCTCATTAAAGGAATACTATAGCTATACATTATACTACATTATTTAGCTGTCTCTGCACCCCCATTGTCCCCTTTTGCAATAAAAAATAAATAAATAGATTAACACTCTCTGTAGCCTTCACCACGCCAGTCTCTATTATTATTATTATTATTATATAGCGCCAACAAAGTCCATAGCGGTTTACAATGGGTGGACTAACAAACATGTAATTGTAAGTAGATAAGCTGGACACACAGGAACAGAGGGGTTGAGGGCCCTGCTCAATGAGCTTACATGCTTACATAATTACTCCAACACTTTTTGGGGGAAAGTGAGACAAAAGACAAGGGATGTTGATTGGTAGAATGGTATTCAATGAAGACTTTGTGTGGGTTTTTTTTGGAGCCATTAACAATTTAATTGATATGCTTTTGTGAAGGTTTTTCATGATGTCTCTATGCTGCCGGTCCCTCTTCCTTAGCTGAGATCATCAATCCTGATAATCTAAGCCAATCCAATGTTTATCCAAAGGAAAGCATAGGGAGTCTAATGCACATGTGCTCCAAATCACAGTGTTTTAGATTGCTGGGTGGAAACTTGTCTTTCCCTGATTGGAGTTTGATATGTCCTAGCAGCTTTAGAGTAAATGGTAAGAAGGGATGTGAGATCAGGATAAAGACAAACTAATTTAGCCTTGGCAAGCAGAAAGTCACCCCTGGTGAGTATATTGTGGACCCTCCAGGCTCGTAGTGGTGAGTAACTTAAGACCTGACTAGCAACGATGGGCTATAAATGTTATATGCATATAAAAAAAACAACAAAAAAAAGACACTATTTAGTATACATACCCACAATGAGAACATGTTTCCATTTAAATGGTTACTTCAATGATTTGAAGTGGTCATGGTGGTAGAACTATGTAATTGCAATGTTTCAACCTGAAATTTAAGTAATCTGCACTTTCGTGCAAGGGGCTAGGTACACCCCCGGCACACGTTATACTAGCAGCCTAGAACTGCCTAATGTAAATTCTGTGTATATTTTGAGTCTGTCATAAGTGCACACAGGGCACTGGCGACAGACGTTATCTTCTCTCTTGCAGGCAGAGTACCTGCAAGGGAAGAGTGTGCTCCCTCCCGCTGTTGCCGAAAGAGAAAAAGAAATCCACCCATCCTCCTCGTACCCTCACTGGCTCAAATTGCGTGCACGCACTCTGAGCCAGTGAAACAGTCCAATTACTGGCTTCTCTATGAGAAAATTGTTACTGGATCTTGCTATTCAAGGTACATTTGCTATAGTGCCCAACAGGTCAGTATTAGATACAAAAACTTCTTCATGTGACAAAGGGTTATAGTAACCCTTTAATTTTGCATTTTTCCCACTGCAGGCATATCTAAGAACAGTTTACAAAAATTGCATCGCTTGTGTCTGCAGCATGTGCAAGTCCTCCCCCCCCCACCCAGACTTTCTGCAGCTGTCCAATCACAGACGTCCTAATGCCGCTCAATGAGAAGTCTTTGCAAAGCAGGTGTTCTGCCCCTGGAGTTTAGTTCCACTGAGCTAATCAACCAGGAAGTAACCGGATCTGATTGACAGCTAGGGGAGTGTAACAATATTAATTTATAAAAGGTCCCAAATTTCTATTGAAATGTGATGGAATTTCAGTGAAATGTAAATTTAGTAGGCCGAGATTTCCACGTGGCATATGTGTATGTTGTATCAGTTAGTTAGTTACACGTAGCTAAGATACTGTCATCAATGTACTGAGCATGTGCAGGAATGCAGGAACTGAAATCACACTCCTTTCTCCTTTGTTTCGGATAAGCTATGTGGTCTCCCCATATGAGGAAATCCAAATGCTTTCCACTGATTGGTTAAGGGTATGTGCAGGTGGAGCTATTAATGGGAGGAGTTATAGTTCTATAAAAAGCATGTACTCCATGTGTTCGGCCCTCAGACCTGTTTTGGAACCTTAGTTCATCTGAGACCCGATCGGTATGTTAATAAAGACCTCTTACTTCCTGAAAACCTGCATCCATCTCTCTGTCTCTGGCTTCTGCAAGTTTACTCCGTTACAGAAATATCCACTTTTTGCTAAATTAAAAAAAAATAGGACACTTCACACATAAAGCACTTCAGCAAACTAAAGTGATTTAGGTGTGTGGAGTTTCCCTTTAATAATTATGAATACTGTGCTACAAAAGCTATATGGAAGCAAGTGCAGAGCTTGGCAGAGGTAAATACAGAATTTAGATTTATGGTGTGTAATTGGACACAAATAAAAAGATCAATATATAAACACAATTCTTATTATTCTTCTGTTACAATAAATAAAATGATTGTAAAGGAATAAAAGTAAACAACTAAAATGTTTAAATTCTAATAAAAATCGAAAAAAAAATAAAAAAGAGTAAAGAATCAATAAAAGGGCACACAGTGAGCCTTTGTGAAACTTTTTTTCTCTTCTTTTTATCAGAGAGAGGCTCCCCTTTAATTTATCACAGTCTTTAATTATTCTAAATTATAGCTTTGTGTAGATAATCTGTGATTATTAAATATCCAAGGATGCGAGCCCTTTAAAACAGATCAAAGAAAATAACTCCTGCCAGGCATTGGAAACATCTCGTTAATAAGATGCAACGCAAACATAGGACTTGGTCACGATAGAAACCGCATAGGAAAGAAAAAAATCAGTCCAAATTGGGGGGAAAAGTATGGGGAGCGTCAATATTACTCATTGACGATTCATGAAAAAAATAGGCACATGCGTGATAAGAGAATTCTGCTATCACATCAAACATTAAGACGAAAAATAAATATGTCTTTTATACATTTTTTTAATAAAAAATTACTGGACAGATTTAAAATGATAAAAATTGCACAATTGTAAAAGTAAAATATATTTTCCACTGTCCTAACCTGGAAAAGTTTGCTATTTTTTTTTTATTCAGTGATATAAAAACAGATTTTGATCGCAGATATAAAAACAGGCTTTGATGCAAGTTAATCAAACCATTCACCCAGGCTATGTCCTTTCTCTTGTGGTCAGTGGTCGGGGTGCAATGTCCCTGTCCTTTTAAAAATAATTACTCCAATACTTTTTTGGGGGGATGGGGACCTCTACTGTGTAAAATGCCCCGTTGAGCAACATTGAGAAAGTTCCCCTTCCTCGATTGCAGTATAACCAGCAAAAAATGTTTTTCTAGCATTGCTCCCAGCACGGATGTTCAACACCTCTTCCAATGTCACAGGGGCCTTTGTATGGCCCAATTTGTGATGGGACCATTTTGACAGCTCAGAAACCATGCACTTGCTCTGGGCCGGCAAGGTGAGGAATGGATTGGGGAGTAGCAGGAACGAGGTGGGATGGATGAGTTTTTTTTACTTTTTTTTAAAAATGTTTCCTCAATAGAGGGAGGTGGGAGGAGGCACTTGCACTGCGCACTGCCTGCAAGGGGAGATATTCAAGTGTGTCAGCAGCATGCTGTGCGTACCAACGCCAGATGTATTTTTTTATGCACAGAATTAACATTGGCAGCCTGGAACAGAGTTCTGGACTGCCAATGGCACGTTTGCTGTGGCTGCAACTAACCCCAGCACACAATTAACAATATCTCTGTATGTGTAGTTTCCAACTGAAATACCACACATACATACTGCTACCACCATGACCACTTCAAATCACTGAAATGGTCTTTATGGATGGAGTAACCCTTTAATCCTGCAATGTAAAATATTGCAGGGTTGAATCCACATACTGACAGCCACTAGAGGAGCTACCACTGCACTGTTAAACTTGGTCATGGGAGTTGGAAGCCCCATAGGAGAGCATTCACCGCGCATGCACATTAGGTCGCCAGTGCTCATATATGATGTGCCTTGGATTGGCCCATTGCATAGGCCCTGTCTCCTCTGAGACACTACTGGGGAGAAGAGGTAAGCACATGGGGGGGGGTGGAGCCTCAGTGCTGAAACAAGGGGAGCAAAAACCTTTTAACCCATTCTTTGCTGAAGGGACACACACACGATCTTATACTACTAGGGACAGGAACACTAACATTAGGAATGCAGATTTGTATTCTTAACATTATAATTTTCCTTTAAGATTTTTTTTTTTATTTTTATTTATAATGCGACAACAAGTTCCATAGCACTGTACAGCGGACTAACAGACACATATTTGTAACCAGACAAGTTGGACGGACAGGAACAGAGGGAATTGTGGGCCCTGCTCAATGAGCTTACATGCTAGAGGGAGTGGGGTATAGTAACACAAAAGGGTAGGGTAGAAAAGTAGGTTTTGTAGGATAGTGTTCATTGAGGGCTTAGTGTTTTGTTTTAATGACAGTTTCAGGAGAGGAATCAGGGTGCAGGGAGGGAAAGCTGTTCACAGTTCTTCAAAATATATTCCCACTTTGGTTTTCTGTGCACAAATTACATGATAATGCATTTCTTGAAATTCAAATTTAGATCAAATATATGCAAACCATTTCCCTAGTTTACTAAAATCTGAAAACATATTCCACACCTACATCCCCGAGGAAGGCAACTAATAACTAACATTCCATGAAAGCCCACTGTTCATCACAGCACTGTGACATCTGTTTTCTTGATCTTTATTCTTATCAAAAGAAGACAAGGCTTTTAAATAAGACTAAATGGCATACAACGATCCTAATTTGAACATAAATAACGGTCTATACAAAATGTAACTCTTGTTAAATAAATGGATGATCAAAGTTAGTCTTAAGGACTATGAACAACTTTTTTTTTTTTTTTTTAAAGATCTTCTCACTTCAGTCAAGGATCTTGGTGATCCCAATCCACCTGTGCATAACTGAGATGATCTTGGAGACGCTGTGTATGGAACCAACAGGCCACCTCTAAGAATGTATGTATTTTCATTTTTAATTAGTGGGACTCAAGGGATAGAGGGACTGGAATGGTCTTCTTGACATCACACTTTTCTAGATTAACATACAGAATTAGTAAGCATGCTGGAACATTGACAGCCCAATGCGTTTGCGTATAGTGTATTTTGTGTATACAAATGTTGATCTGAGGGTAACAATATTTACCTACTTATAAATATATGTAATGCAATGGAGAGATGTAGTATAGATAATGTGCAATATTATACAACAGTCTAACAAAACATTTTAAATGTAACCTACTCCCAAATCCCACTGAGACATTGTAGCTGAGGCCTTCAGGAAGCAGAGAAAGGAAAAAGAAAGTAATTATTCACAGGAATTTGTTTCTCACAAGAAAATGTATTCAACTGCTGTGCACTATGTATAACAAAACTGCTTATGAAGAAAAAAAAAACATCAGAGATATGAAACTGCTCTAAACATCCATAACTGTTAAACTGTTTATTTTCTTTTGTTGCATTTTTGATTTATCGGTGAAAAGCACATTGCATATATACGTCTCTGTGTGAAATTTGCATTCTCATCATGGGTGAACTTCTAACACATTTTTACACAGAACAAAGAGAGAATGGAGTGAAACGAAACACTTTTAAAGTGTACCTGTTAAATATCCCCTGCATGACTAAGGTTTTTGCAAATCCGACTATACCAACATGGTCAATGCACGTCATTTGCCATGAAGGGATAAAAAAAAAACCAAACAAACACAAAAAGCCCCTCACAAACTTGAAAGTTATTATAATAAAGGCCAGCAAGTGCCAGTAAGTCTGTAGAGCACTGTTTGAGCACAATATACATTCCAGTAAAGCGGACACAACAGATTTCTCACAGACCTGCCCAGGATGCAGTTTCATCAGACTATTTTCCTGAAACCATCATCATGCTGAGGAGTCAATTAAGGATGAAATGGTTAACATAAGAGGAGCTGTAGGCCCTATAACTTTGGCTACAATTAATATTAATTTTACTGCTTATATGGCGCCAGAAAATTCCATAGCGCTGTACAATGGGTACAATAAAATAACATCATTGAGTAGAAGATGTAAACAGATGGCAAGAGCAATCACTTATGGCATCATTTGAATATCCCTGTGGAAATCTCTGTTAAACCATTACTGGAGTGCATAGTAATGTGCAAACATTGCTCGGTTTACTGTACTGTACCTCTAGAGGAGAGTTTCTCAGAACTCCTTTTTGCCCACCATAACTTTTGGATTGTTTCTTTATGGAATTTGCAAAGTAACCCAATATAACACATTCCACTGAGAGGCAGCCAATGTCGACATAGGACTCTATTGATCCACTTTCATTTGATGTTCTAATACATTATAGGAGTCTGTTTTATAGACTCATAACATTCACATATTCTGGACTACTCCTCATTAATTTTACTCAGAATTAATTTTTCAGTTGATTTCGCCATGTCCTCATTCTACTGAAAAAAATTAAAATAAATTAATTTGAAGAAGCAAATTCCCAAATCTTAGACCATTTCCCAGGTCTGTATTCACAGCTATGAGACTTTCAAAGGAATTCGTGGTCCATTCTGCTTTCTGCAGACTTCTGCCACGACATGGAAAATGTAATTAAATAGGTGTGAAAGCTGGTGATTTTATGCAGCAAAGTGATTTCAGAATCTCTGGGAATTTAAACGGCCAATACAGCAGGGTATGTGTCATTCCAGATTTGTTTCTATTCAACCTGTTGCCCTGCCTATTTTATATGCATAGAACCCCACACTAATTACCGTGTTACCGCAGTGTGAAACGTTTAATGCTACAGATCAATATCATATCTTGGATTTTGCCACTGCTAGCATACATATGAGCAGCAATTACAGCACCTTATTTTCAAAGTACAACTTTCTCCAATTACAAAATACTTTCGGAATAAAATAAAACATACCTGGGAGACTCCACAATCCAGAAACCTCTAGCGTTCTTAGTTTCTTCTCCAGTTCTGCCACTCTGTTACCTAGAATTCTGAACATAGATTGAGTTATTCTCACACAATCCTAAATTCGTATAGTACCAAAATACAATAGGGCATCCTATAGATCACCAACTGCTAATAAGTAGCTCTCCACAATGCAACTTCATCTCAAATAAGCAGATATACTGCAATACTCCAAACTAAAATTGCAGCCTTAATAGTCTCAGCGACTCCAGACACTATGCAGAACATGGGCTAAATATCCTCACAGATTTTGCAATCATCAAAGTACTGAATGGCATAGAATTGAAAACCCAACTGCAAAATTTAGGAATGAAAGTGCCAAGATAAGAACTTTTACAAACCAGCTATAGCTACAACTAGGTTATATTAACTTCCATTTTTGCAATTTGCATTTCAATTTATTGTGATTTGGTGTTTTGAATTTAAATTCATCACAATTGGCTGATAAAACACATCAGTCACCACCTCTGTCTATTAGAAAGAATGAATTAGCTTGAAATGTTTTACACGTTTTCCTAGTCATCTAGAGAGTGTCTCACTATTCCATTTAAATACTTCAACTACTGTTCATTTCACTGTGAACGGCTATAATAAATAGATAATCAACAAAAAAAACCACTAAAGCTCATTACAGTGGTGCAACGGGTCTTTGGAAAAAGTACAAGAAATTACAGAAATATTTTTTCCAAGCACAGTATCTGGAAGAGTTAAATATTATAAGACTTGACAAGTCAAGCAATCCACAATAACACAAAGTAGCATGTTACAGTTCCAATAAACACAATGGAGACCTACTAGAGATGGAAGAGACACTGAATGTAGGAACCGGCCAAATGCTTTATATAGAAAATCCATAAATATATACAAAAAGTTTAAATAAATTTGCTCTCTTCAGACCAATAAAAAGCATAAAACACTGATCCATAGTGTTCCACAATAGGAGCTTATCAGATCTCTTAAATCAAAACCCAGCAAAGGTTTCTGGGATATGTAGATCAGAAGGTATAAATGCCTTGACTTCCTGAACAACTCTTTCTTCTCATGAAAGCAGGCACAGTACAGGCGTTCTCATAGAAATTTCAGACAGAGCCAGGCAGAGGTAGTCTGAGCTTATTTTGCACTTTTTAGACAAGTACATATGGTGGGATGTGTTACATATACCCTTACCACATCACTGAGCTGGGATTATATTTTCCATTTTAACCACCACAATAAAGGGAAACATAAATGGGAGCTCCTTGCAAGACAATTTTCGGAGTGTCACTTTAAATATTATTTTCATACATTGTATACCAATAGGTAGATGCATGGAGTTTCTACTTCTACAATTTCCAAGATTCTTTCCCAGCCTTTAAAATAATTAACACTACCATACTATAATATATATATATATATATATATATATATATATATAAATAAAATACACAAGATCCAGCGCACTCACCTATCCACTAAACAGCAACTTCAATGTTGAAAGTTGCTGTTTCAACATTGAAGTTGCTGTTTAGTGGATAGGTGAGTGCGCTGGATCTTGTGTATTGTATTATTTGGCCCCCAGCAGCACCCCCATTTATGCATGATAAGGTGAGTGCAGCCAACCCCCTCTTGTTTTATATATATATATATATATATATATATATATATATATATATATATATATATCACTGAACAATTCTACCCGTGACCTTCTCCTGTCCGCTGCTCGCACCCGTATGGCCAACTCAGGCTTGCAGCTCCCTTCCTGTGGAATAGCCTGCCTACCGCCACCCAATGCTCCCCTAGTCTCCAATTATTTAAGAAGTGCCTTAAAACCCATCTCTTTAGGAAAGCTTATGGCCTCCCAGAGTAACCTCTACCTCACATACCTGTCCCTTGCTCTCTCCTAAAGGGCATCACTTTACTCTGTCCTCCAGCTCTGCTTCACACCCACATTATTTAATTGCTATTTCTTGTCCTAATGTGTTTTATACCCCACCTCTTATAGACTGTAAGCTCGTTTGAGCAGGGCCCTCTTCAACCTGTCGTTCCTGTAAGTTGTCTTGTAATTGTCCTACTTATAGTTAAATCCCCCCTCTCATAATATTGTAAAGCGCTATGAAATCTGTTGGCGCTATATAAATGGCAATAATAATGTAAAAAAAAAAAAAAAAATAGACAGCTATTGCTGTTAATCTTGAGCTAGATAATATATTTTACTTTCCCCATGAATATCAAACAAGAGAAGATATTCTACCTTATTTTATCTTAAACTCCAACATGCATGAATAATGTCCAGTTTCCTCAAATGACTCTAATCAGTCTAGTAAATATCTGTTGGCACAAGTACAATGTGACAAGTTTAGCAGGTGTTTTATAGAATACCACTAGTTACAGACACCCTTTTCTGATCCTTTAACAAAACCCTTGCAAGAACACATAGGTCAGAACGGTCATGCTTACAAAGGATCTGCCTCGCCCCATGTACCTGGAGGAGGTGAATAGGATTGCTTCCACTAGTTTGGGCAGAAAAATAAAATTGTAAAAATAAGATGTACTGGCAGGAGCAAGGGAACAGTGAGGAGAGTGCAGTAAACCGGATAATACAGGGAAGTAAACCTACTTGTTAGTCTGTCGCTGGTGCTGGATCACCATGTTTTTTTCGTGGATGGTCTCCAGCAAGGCTGTAGCCAGGGATTTCAGATCAGAGATAGACTGCGGTGTTGCTGGCAAGCTGCATCCATGCTCCTCTGACAGCAGCTCTTGGACTGCTCAAGAAAACAGGAGACAAAGGGTTAATATCCCTACTGGTAAATCAATTACTTTATAAATGAGTACAGGAGCTTTTCAAGGCATACATCTGACTTGAGAGAGACATCATTCTGAGATTTTATAGATTTTTGTTGTTTTAAAGAGAAAAAAAAATAAATATTTATATGATATCAAAAAATGAAAAAAAAAAAAAAAAAAAACAATATCCATTGCACTATATCAATCCAGAGATGGAACGGACAGAGGGATTCCAAAATATAAATAGTAAAGTCAAAATTGGCAGTTATCCTGTCAAGTCACAGAATTTCCTGTTTAATGAATAAAAATGCAGAGATGTGCCAAAACAAGTTAAAAGAGTTCAATGCGGAGATTAAATGAATAAATACAAGGTCAGCTGGCAGACCGTGTTTTTAGAATTATCTCAATTTGTTTCCATCTCTCAAATTAAATTGACACCAAGCCCCAGAACCATTACAGCGTACAGCAGTAGCAAAGGCAACTATGGGTTCAGAAATGGCTGCAGTGGTTAAAATAGATCCTTCTACAGCCAAGCAGATATATGCTATCATTGCACAGTGAGCACACAAAGCCTGCATCATCTAATCATTTGTGTGGATAACAAGGAAGCAAAATGTCTAATGATGACATCAGTTGCAAAGGGGGTGGGCCTTGGGAAATCCTCCAATTTTGTTAAACTGCTTGAAAACCGTTTTAAAAACTGCAGGCATCACCCGTATGTACAACATAATAAAAAGAGAAAAAAAAAAAGTGCGCTAGAAATTAAAGTGCATATTCAAGAGAATATATTTTTCTGTTTTTATTATATTTGGAGTGTTTTTGGGCTAACACACATTATAGGTGCTGCTTCATTTCAAAAAGATTTAATTTAATTTTTAGTTTGGATATTTATCTAATTTTAAGCGCCAATTTTTATCTTGTTTGTTTTACTTCCATATGTACAACATGACCAATAATAAACTGTAGTGGTTTAGGATTGTGTACTGTCCCTATAAGTGGTAATTTCATACCATTTGCACATTCTGAAACTTGTTGCTGCATTGTTAAATCAGAATAATAAAGAAAAAATGCGTTCTAGTTCAGCAAGCTTTACCAATTTGGAAAGCTGGAATTCTTTGGAAGAAAACCAAACTCTGTGCACTTGTCAAAACAGTGATAAAGGTTGAATTCTTTTAGTTTATGCCTGCAGGGAAGCTTTCACCTGTAACGCCGTTTGCAAGAATCCTGCAAAAAATTTTAAAGGGGCAGAAAACCTCAAAACAAGCTGGTACAACTTTTAAAGCTTATAACATTTAAAAGAACAACAAAACATAATAATTTTAGCCCTGCAACGTAAAACATTGCCGTTTTGTAAATACGGCAATGTTTTCATTGGACTAAACACACCTCTAGTGACTGTCTGAGTTTGACTCTGTCATGTGACTTTCAATGTTGGACATCAGCATGTGCTGATAATAGGGAAGCACTGGATTCAATGCTTCTCTATGAAATGCATTTTATTGGACGAGGGCGGGACTTGCCACACGTCTCCTTCTTGTACCCAATGCTGCTATTAAACAGGAAATTCTGTAGCTTTCGATTGGATGAGAAGAGGGAGAGGACCCAATATGACGTTGCAAGTGGCGGACTGGGCTGCTGTAATGGTGGAACCTTGGCGCAGGAAACAATGTAAGTAAAATGTATTTAAATGTGAGGTGACAGTAAAAGCAGGGAGCTTATAATCTCAAAAAAAAAAAAAAGTAAGTAATATTTTAGGGGGTTCTCTTTTAAAGTATCCATTCTACAAAGCATGTCACTGTTAATAACCAACTGGAACGAAGGATAGCAGCTAAAGAAAAGAAACAAAGACATAAATGTTGGCTGAATACTAAAATATACGAACAAAAAAAAGGAACAGAACAACTGATGTGTGAAATAGGAACATTAAGAACCTCTATGAACACAGTATTGTTTGTTATAAAATGAGGCAACATCATCAATAAAAAGATTTAACAATTACTCCATTTGGGCTATTGATACATACAAACAAATAAAAAAAATCACATACACCATATTATATTTTTAAACTTGATTTTGCATGCTCTAGCTTTTTTTTTTATATAATGAATCAGTTAATTCTAAGGTAATTTTGCCTTGAATTACATGGGATCTTAAGGATTCTTTATTAAAAAAAATAATCTATTTTTGAATGACAGATGTAGCATATCAGGTACATTCAGGCTTGCGCAAAAGCCAATTCTTTTGAAAGTCAATGCAGTGTTCTAGAATACATTCATATTATGTTAAGGTAGGTATGACAGTATACTTTGGTGTGGTGCCTTGTTACAACCTGTCAGCTTTTACTGTTATATCATAGAAATTAAAATAAACAATTAAACTCAATGTTTTTCATACGGCAAAGGTTATTGAGTTTCCAACTTTCTTCTGGCTTGGGTTAATAGCCATACCCCCAAATCTCACACACTGCCTGTAAGCGCCCCAGCCAGGCCTTCTTTGTTTGCTTAAAAGTACTCCCTCCAGAAAGCCCATGAGGCCGGGAGATGGGCAATCTTCGCCACCCTCCCCATATCATTCAATAATTTCCCTCCGTGTTGATGACCTCTTTTGTTTTTAAGTGCTGCACATAGGGCATGATATATCAGTCTGCATACTGCTGCTGGTGACATTATATCCAATGTTAGCCTATCTCGATGTGATCTAGGATGGTGGGGCATGTGAGCCAGTTATTTGCAGGTGTATCTGTGGTGTTTTCTTGGCCGGCCCAAGCTCCAAGATTCTGCTGTGTGCCAATATTTGCCATTTTTAAGTTGGAATGTAGGTTAATACTCAACATCTTTAAACAAAGAATAATATGTGAGATATTATTTGTTCCATGGTATCAGTGCAGCAGGTCTATTTGCTACTTTGAGCGTACAGAGATGGGGCTTAGTGCGGAGGCATCTACAGTGTCGCCCGATATTGTGCATGTTAGTTTTCGTATTGGTCCCATAGGTCCCATACTTTGTTGAAGGTGGCCTCTGTATTTCGGACTTTAGCTGTTAGTTTGTCAATTAAATAGTCCCCGAGTTTAGTTTTCACTAAGGACGTGGGAGGTAGTGTGGTGTTTGTTTGTCCATGTCTGTGCCAACACCCGCCTTGCTGCCAAATATTTCATGTTTAATAACTTTTGTTCATGTCTGGTTAGACCATCTGTGGGTTTAGAGAGAAGGCAGGCCCATGGATCAGGTTTCATAGGCCTCTGAAAGACTTCAGAGCTTAAGTCAGTTACTGTCTTCCAGAAGTCACTTACTTTAGGGCACTGCCAGCACATGTGAATGCAGCTTCCCCTATCTCTACAGAGGCGCCAGCATGTATCTGTTGGGCTTATCTTCATATGGTGCTGTTTTACCGGTGTAGTGTACCATCTATATATTGTCTTATAGCACTGTTCCTGCAATGTGACACACATTGAGGTCTTAGAGCAGGTCTACCAGATCTCTTACCAATCTATTCCCTCCAGTTTTTCCCCACAGGTTGGCTTCCCATTGGTCTATGTAGCGCATCGCTCCCCATACTCTTGGTTGTGAACTTAAATGTTGATATAGTATTGAGATCAATTTGGTTTGGGGTGTTTCCTCAAAGCAGAACCTCTCAAGGAAAGTCATTTGGGTCTCTGCTGTTGTATTTAGGAAAAGAGCTTCTTTGCTGGGTGTCACCCACATAAGGACTTAAGGTAAGCAACCGTTTAACCCTTCTGCCTAATTTTGTGGGAGTTTTTTGTGGCTAGCTTGGTCCACAGTATTTACTATTGGAGAAATAGCATGTACCTTAAAGAAAAATGCCATTAAAGTTCCAAGTCCAGCTCTCTTTTTTGGTATTAGTGGTAACACTTGTTGAACAGGTTTGACAAACTCTACATTGCATTAGTAACACATGTAACTTTTTTGTAGCACTGGTATGTTTTTACCAATACAAACTGTAGCCTGTGGAATTTCTTTCCTCAGACAGGAACATTTATAAACTCACTGGGTACAATTTTCTCTTAATGGGGACCCAGTGATAGGCTGATATTTTCCCAACACTACAGCCCTCATGTGGCTATATAGTTTAGAGCCACCCCATGTAAAGAAGAAATAAATTAGAATAAAACCAATTACTTACCTTTTCTACAAGTAGACTTGGCACTGCTGCAACCTCCTCTTCGAGAGACATGATTCCAGAAGCGTGCCTCCAGGATGATGGTCAGATCCAATGTTGCTCAGAGAAGAGCATTGGGAACCTTATGCACAGAGCTTGTTGCCATGTGCCTAAGATTCTGCCATAGAGAATCATTGAATACAACTTCCACCAACCAGCAGCTCCCCATTCTAGTCTGTGGGGTACAATCTTATCCTGTAAACCCCTATCTAGGGGGATTATGGGTAATGCAGTACAGAGCCAGGCACAGTTCATTAATCAGATCTGATAAATGCAACTACTGATAACCAGACAGCAACCATACTGTGGCTGCTCTCAGTGGAAACAAAGCCGTTTTGTAAAAGGAGCCGTTCTCAGCGTTCTTCCGAGCCACCTGTACTCAGAATGGGGAATTTAAATCTGCCATCTGGAAGGTAAGCTGCAGCGTTATTGGCAGGGGCACACTGATAGGGCAACTCCTTGGATCACAACCAATGAAATGTATGTTTCCCTTATGGTTAGAGTGACTTGAAATTTCCTCCACTTAAAATGGATACTACTCTTTATTTTTTACTCTTATTCAAATTTTAACAGTATATGCAAAGGAAGCCAGGATCAAGATACAATTTATACTTAGAAATATGACTCAATCATTCATTTGAACTGCATTCATTGATTATAATGCAGGCTTTATTCGCCAAGATTAACCACAAGCATGTTTTCAGAGACCCACTTGCAATGCTGTTAAAAAGACCAGTTCTCTCCATTCTCACAGACTATATAGGA